TTCCACCTTCCTGGCATGCTGTGATTCAATACAATGCTGGCAAGCCATAAAAGACGGCTGCTGCAAGATTGAAATCGAATAAAGAGCTATTGTGCTACTCTTTGTTAAGAAACAAAAAATTATGGACTAATCTCATGTACAGGAACCATTTTGCTCACTCTGAAAGTGCAGCTGCTTCTGGTCCCATGTTGCAGCTCCGGAGTTTAAGTACACAGATATCCAGGCAACGTTGGCTGGAGGATCCTAAATCTGATCAAAAACAGGGAAGGCAGAGGGCGGTGACACAGAGAATGAAGCTGATGGCATGGAAGCTGAAGAAGGGCATAGTACATAGTCTGCATTGAAAAAAGGTATCAGGACACTTGTAATAAGCACAAGAGTTCAGGAAGGCAACTGCATATCTCATCCATCCAGTGGCACCCTGGCAACCACATTCTCTGTACTGAGTCAGAGAAATAGTGGCATCATTTAATGCTTAATCAATCACTGACTCAGTTGTCCACTCATGCTGTCAAGCTCTCTGTTTATTTTGGAAACTCTACCAACGCAACCAGACACTGCTTAATTTGAGGCTGGAGGAGAGCAGACTCAGAGGGTGTGGGCAGAAGGAGAGGGAAATCACAAAGGGAAGCACTGAGTCACCAACAGCAAGCATTCAAGTCCTACTCCCATGGTAGGAGGGCCATGGCTGGTAGGACCGTATGTGGGAATTCTGGAGCTTCCTACAGCCTGTGATGCCCTCAAGGCAGCTAAAGGAGGCAGAGATTTGATCACACTGAAAACCCAAAGGGTGTTCCAGGAGCAAGTGACTTCCCACATTGTAAGAGTGGTATCTATATGGCTATCCACAGTCCTGAATAAATACTCCTGACCTCCAAAATCATAGAATCACAGAATGGCCTGGGTTGCAAAGGAGCACGATGCTCATCCAGTTCCAACGCCCTGCTGTGTGCAGGTCACCAACCAGCAGCCCAGGCTGCCCAGAGCCACATCCAGCCTGGCCTTGAATGCCTGCAGGGATGGGGCATCCACAGCCTCTCTGGACAACCCACTGACCACACCTCCTCTGACTTTTCTCGAAAGTTCCTCAGTTCCACAAACAACATTTCTTAGACCGTGAAGCAATTTTCAAAACAGAGTTCTTCTATTTGTTATCCTTGGTTATTTTCCTTTTCATGGTATTGACCCTGAGCAAAACTACCTGCGGGTCTGTTTTCCCTACGACTTTTGATCCATTTGGAACAATATATATATATTTAGTTTTTATAATCTTTGAGGCAGATTTTTCAAGGTATTTCCAGACGATGGCTCCCCAATTCCTGGCATTTAAGTCAGTATATAGAAATGCAGACACTACTGAAAATTATTAATTGGTAAAGGAGTGTCTGCATTTTTTTCAGAAGATGACCATTTTCACACAAAATGAAAAACAACCGGAAACAAACAAACAAAAAGAGAAATAAATAATTTTGCTCAGCACGTTTTTAATAGCCTGATGAAAGTTCTCACAATAAACTTTGCTGAACAGCAAATATTGTGTTACCTTAGAGGTCAGACGTCTCCTCTCACCTGTCTTTCCTGCTTGAGCTCTTTGTTGGCCATTAATTGCCCATGATGAGTAGTTTCTTCCACTATCCAAACTACAGATCTGTCCTCACTAGACAATAGCCAACTGTGTTGGCAGATGAGTGCACTTTGGATTATGTTTTCTCTATTCTTACGTTTTTACCTAATGGAGATTTATAAAATGAAGTAATCCAGTTGCCAAAAAAACAAAAAAACAAAAAAAAGATACTAGATGATACAAGTATAAACATTCAAATTCTCAGAACAACAAACACTGACTACTACTCTTTCAGTTTTTTCAGTGCTCAAAGTTTTTGCTTGGGCAATCACGCTACTACTGAAATACATGGGAAGTTTTGTCTTAAAAGGATTCAGTAATCCAAATACCTCTCTGAATATTGTCCAGAATTTCTTACTTAGAACCAGGCAAAGTTTAAAAAGTTTGCATTGACTTCAGTGAAGTTTAGATCAAACTCCTCATGTGGGACAGTTTTGCTTGCCTCTAAGAATAAAACAGACCTTCATATTGAATATGGTAAAGGAGCATCCTGCGTTCTCCTGCCCTCTTTCTCTATTCAGCCCTGTACCTTCCATTCTGTGCTCTGTTTGCTTGCATTTTCCTTTCCTTTGGGCAATAAGAAAGGCACAGATTCATCACACAATCAAGGTTCCCAAGGCTGGATCCTCATCATACCAAGTTTCCTCTACAGTAAAGGAAAAGATCTAGGTCTCTCTATAGGACAACAGAGAGGGTCTAAGAGATGAAATACCTTTGTTTGTCTCCTCCCTATGAGCTGGCACAGAACCTAAGGAATTGATATCAGCTCTAAGGCCCCTTGGTGCAGGATCTGCAGCTGGGCAGGATAAAACAGAATCTATCCCACCCATACAATCCCACCCAGCATCAGCGAGGGCACTGGATAGCCACTGATTCCATTGACTTGTTCCCACCATAATTTTCCTGCAAAAAAAAAAAAAACACAAAAAACACCCTTTCAAGTCCATGGCAAGGCCTGAAAAGAGGAAGCAGTCATGCATACCCAAGCCACCTTCCCAAGCTTTGCCAAAATGGAGTACTCCCTTTCTTTCTATTCTTTTTTTCAGTAGTGAATCTATACCTCATTTTCTACTAGAAGGATAAGAAGACAAAATAGGCACCAGGAATGCCAGCTCTGCCCCTCCACCTCCTTATTCTCAGGTTGAAAAGCAAGCGTGACATCAAAGCAAGTCTCTGTGGATCTCCTTATGCTCTGTTTGCTGAAGGAGGCAGTGCAGTGTGACTTCAGGATGTGTCCCGTGGTGATCAGCTCTGCATGAGGACAGCTGTTCTGTTGTCCCCATGCTGGGCTCAGACCCACTGCCCCCTCAAATCCCCACCTTCCCTCCCCAGCTGTTCCCAGCTGAGTGGGAAAAGAATGGATTTGCTTTCCTCACCAGTTGCTTCTTACAGGGGACAGCTGTTGCTCTCCCCATTTCCGGAAATGTGGAGACCCCCCCCCCCCTCCAGCCTCTTCTATCCAGAACATTTATTGCTGGATAGGAAATAGAAAATAAAAGATCAAAACTCTGAGTATACATCCTCCTACCATTGATTTTATGGCATTGGAAAAGGTGCACTGAATGTATTCCAGCGGAGGGGCAAGGCTTCCACTCTCAAATGCAGTTTTTGTGATTCACAGAGTGATTTTTCCATCTCCGACTTCTCTCTACTTAGATGCCTTTGTGCAGAGCTCTGACTTAAATCTTTGCAACTTGAAGAATTACCAACAGAGGAGCAAGCTTTTGGGGTGGTCCCTTACACCCACTTTGCAAACAGCCAATTTCAGGGCTTCGGGGCAAAGGAAGCAGCCAGCCACAAGTGCTTTGTGGCAGGCAAAAGGCAAAGACCAAATGGGAATGCTGCTGAAAGCAGACCTCCCATGTTCCATGGCAGCTGGCAACCAAACCTCTCGAGGAAACCACCGGGGCGGGTACCCTGTCCCATGCGGTTCAGCACTTCCCTCTGCCAGTGGTTTCAGAGGAAAGGATCACGTCTCACACACAGAGCCAGAGCCCACTGGAGTTAATAAAAAGATTCCCTCTCCTTCGCCAGAAAATGTTTTGAATGATCCCAGAGGAGTTCCCAGATGGGTGGCAGCTTGGGATCCCTGCAGGGAGGTGAGCAGCCTCGGCAGTGATCTCCTTAATGTCACCTTTCTGTTTTCAAAAGCTCCTCTTCCTCACGCTTAGAAATAACTCCCATGCCACAGAATGCTTAAAACTTTTATTTTCCTTTTTTTTTTTTTTCTTCCCTAAAATGTTTTCTGAAGTGATATTGTATTTGTGTTTGGAGCTTTGTGCACCAGTGTGCATAAGATTTCAAATACGTTCAAGTTTCAAACTGCATTGACTGTACTGCAAGAGGGGGGCCATAGAAAAGCTACAAAATTCTTAATAGAATCAGGTGAGATAAGTGACCAGAAGGAAATTTCCGCTTATAGTACTCCTCTGGGTATTGCTGTGGCTGTAGGACTTCCTTACTGACATCCACTGACAGTGGGATGATTTCATGTTAAAAGGGTAACTATCCCTATTGCTCCTGTTATGGTACAAAGACAACAGCAGAGAAGAACAATACATAGAGGAGGAGGGGTTGCCACCATGCAGCTGTCTGCATGCTGTAATGGTCAACAGCTGTAAGCACCTGGATGGGAGAGGTCTGAAACCTGCACCTCTCATAAACGCAGATTCCTCACTTCATCCTCTGAATTACACCTGAGAAATCCTTTTTTTTTTTCCCCTCATTTTTGCTCAGTTAAAGTAGGAAAAAGAAGAAAAGTGCTGCTAAGATTCTGAATCAGGCAGGATGAAAGCACTGTGCCAAATGCAACAGGTGATGCTCACACCTTTTGTGATAGGATTTCTCCTGCTACCCATCTCTCTCACTGGTCCCATAGGTTCTTGCACTGCACTCATCAGGTTACACAAACTATTAATGAGGTATTGAAAAAGAATCACATTCACAGACGTGAAAACACCGGTGTATACACATTAACCAGCATCATGAGCCAAAGACATGTTACCTGAGACCTTCAGAATCAGGAAAGAGGAAAGTCATGCAAATGACAGCGATTTCAATGTTACTTTTATACCAAAAGGCACTTTTCTGCAGCATGGATATGCAAAATTGAACGAACACGAGCAAAACTGATAATGACCATAAAGCTCTGAAAAAGAACGGACGGAAGGGACCATCCCTATGGCATCTCTTACCAAAGAAAAGGATTAAAATAGCGCTTCAGCTGACAGCAGTGAATGCATGCACCCTGCCATCAGTCAGGACAAGTGCCCTGCCTGAGGTCACCACCTCCACCACACACATCCTTATAGGTGTTGCCCTCTCAGTTCTACTCAGGAAAAAAAGAGCTGGGGGGAAAAGGGGGAACAGCGAAGTTTCAGCTTACCGCATTGAGCCCCAAGGAGTTGTGGGGCAGAGAGGAGGTGACTCCAGACAGGATGGCAGTGGCCACCACTGCCCCCAGGCACTGGGCGAGGATGTACATCAGCGCCTTGAAGATGCTGATCTGGCAGCTCAGCAGGAGGCCCAGGGTCACCGCCGGGTTCAGGTGGGCACCGCTGATGTGGCCCACGCTCTGCGCCATGGTCGCGATGGATAACCCAAAAGCCAGCGAAACCTTCACGTTGTCCTGAGTTGCTGATGTCCCGTTGACTGACACTGGGAAATTAAAACCCAGAGCCGAGCCAATGCTGATAAAAATAAAGAGGATCATGGCGAGGAACTCGGCCACCACCGCCCTCCAGAACATCTTCTTTTTGAATTCGCTGGCCATCTCTCCTCTCTCTCTGCCCTCCTCTCTCTCTTCTGTTTCTTTCTCCCGCCTGATATTTTCCCTTCGAGGTCTGAAGAGAAAGCTGGAGAAAAAATACGGTCCTTGGATTATTTATAGGGCTTTGGGTGGTCTGTAGGAGGGAAGGGGTGTTGCACAAAAGGAGGAAAGAACATCTACATCGATGCTGACTGCTAGATTGATGTAAGACACTGCACGCTTGCCAAAGTTTTTTCTTCCTTTTTTTTTTTCTCCCTCTCCCTTAACTGCCTTCGATCTCTGCTGCCGTTTTTAAGAGGCTTTTTCAAGCCTTTGGAAGAGCCCTTGGGAGTGCCCTGGGAATGTTACGCTCACTCTGCTTCACATCCCTCATCCTTCAGGTCGCAGCAAGGGCTGTCGCGGGGTCTCAGCCTGACACAGGGCTGAAAGGAGAAGCTCTCCGCTGAGTTACTGCGCTCAGCTCCGCGGCAGCTGGGGGACATCCAGCAATAGTAAACAGAGCTGACAACTAAATCCGCGCTCTAGAGACGGAAAGATCCCTGTTTCACTTGAAAACAGATAGACAAGTCTCTCCTGCTGGCACCCTGGGGACCGGGTGCGTTTTGGCCATCCTGACCACGGACGGACAGAGAGCAACGTGCACTGATCTGAGTTGGCTGAGGCAGGGCTCGCTCCCCACTTCCGTGACCGCTGCGTAAATCGGACCAGACACAGCAGCAAAGGGAAGCTTCCCATAGCCATGATTTGGGTGCTGAGGGATATATTTATTTTTATTATTATTATTTAATTTACCTAATCTCAGGGTTTCCCAAACAGCGCAAAGCAGCTGCTCAGGGTCCTGCAGTGAAAGCGCAGCGGAACATCAGCTGTCACCGGGGAGACTGAAACAGGGACGGAAGGGGAGTGCAAGGGAGAAGAGGCATTACATGCTTGATTTTGCAGACAAAATGAATCACCCGACAGAGCCAGAATATCCTCTGGAGCAAAAGGTCTCATCGCTCGGGGCGTTATCGCGGCAGGACGTGTGTGCATGCCTCGGATTAACCCTTGTGCTCTCAGAACGCTGCAGGTTGAGCGGCTGCTGACAATTCATTCCGTAAGCCAGGGGGCTTCCTCGGACTTACAGCTGTGCAGCAGTCGATCCAGAAGCAGAAACAAAATCCCCAGGCACAAGTCTTGAAAGAAGAGAGCTTAAAATCATCCCACCGCTCCGCCTCCTCCTTTTTCTTCTTCTTCCCTCGATGTGCCGCTGCCGACTTCTAAATTGCGCTTAAATTAATTAATGTGTCACTATAGGAATAAAACAAAATACACAGCTGGATAGCATTAGATAATTGACAGGTGACTTTTTTAAAGCCTATTCATCTTTCTGAAGATGATTCAGATTCAAGGCAGAGCTCTGTTTGAATAAAAATCTGGATATCCTCAGCCATTGTCCCCATGTCCTTATTCTTTCTAGTCTTCAGATGTTTTTGATTTTCTGAATAAGTAGTTTTATTTTG